CCTCTACAGGCAAAGCAAAACTGTCCATGATGATCATAGTCTCGCCATCCACCTTTCCCAGCATCAATCCCATCACTTCCAAGTTGCCTCCTGACCTGGCATGCATCACCATTTTCAGGAGCGCCAAAGCTGAGATTTTGCAGTACTTAAAGTAATGGTGACTACAAAAGAAAAAACAAAGAAAAGCACGGCATGATTAAGTTTCTTAGATAAATTACAATTTCAAAGACTTTTTTTTGTAGGAAAATAATGAATAGACACTGAAGGAATTTACAGAGATGGAAGGAGAGAGAGGCTGAAGATTGTTGGAAAGAAAAAAGAAGAAAAGGACCGAGTTTCTGTAGAGGCCTGGAAATAATAAGTATGCTAAGGTCCTGAAAAGTATTCGTCCTTGGAAAAAGGAAAAAGTCTCAACTAATTTTTAAATATGCTATTCAAGTAGAAAGGAAGGGTTAAATGACCAGTTCAGATGACTTTCTTCATTAATTTTGGAGCCACCAAAGCTCTGATTCTGAGGGGCTGGCTGGTTGTGCCTAACTGTTCTCAGGCTCAAATGACTGGCCTAGTGGTTAACAATGTAACATTTACTTATCTGTCTAGGTTTGAATCCTGTCATTAACTTGGGTCAATCACTTAATGCCTTTGCCTCAGTTTTCATATCTGTTGTTAAGTGCTTTTGGGTCTGTTCTCTGACTCATAATGATCATGTACAGAGTTTCTGAGGATATAAATCTTTATGGAAGCAGAAAGCGTCATCTTTCTTCCACAGAGCGGCTGGTGGGTTCCAACCACTGGCCTTATGGTTTAGTCCAGTGCTTATCCTGCAGAGTCACCACACTTCCTTTCCTTATTTGTGTTGTTGTTGTTAAGTGTGATCAAGTCGGTTCCAACCCAAAGTAACAACCCTGTATAGGGTTTCCGAGGAGTGGCTGGTGGGTTTGAATAGCTGACCTTGCCTGTTAGCAGTTCAGTGCTTATTCTACAGCACCATACCATGACTCCTTGTCTGTAATCAGGGATAGAAAAATGGAATAATTAAGTACTTGGCATAATGCCTGGCACATACGAAAACATTAGTGTTAAAAACCTAAAACCCACTGCCATAGTCAATTTCAACTCATATTAACCCTACAGGATAAGGAAGAACTGCTTCTTAAACAAAGTTTTAACAGGCACAGACAACCTCATCTTTCTCCCATGGAGCAGCTGGTGCGTTTGAACTGCCGACTTTAAGGTTAGCAACCCAATGCAACACCATAGTGCCTAGCACATACGAAAACCTTCATGTTAGTCAGCCTTTATTAGAATCGTTAGCCTGTCTCCATGGACTACGAAAGAACATTGTATTGAAAGGTATGATTCCCTCTGTGCTATGAATCTCAAAATTAAAAGCATTGCTCAACATTCCCAGCTTTCTTATTATCATTATTCCAGAATTTATCATCTATGGATGGGACTAAACTAGTCTTGAATAAAATTACGTTTTCATTCTTACTGAAGAATCCCAAGACAATAAAACTGAATTTAATTAGAACTATAACCATCGTGGTTACGAATTGGGCTGAGAGCTGCAAGGTCAGCAGTTCGAAACTACCAGCTGTTCCGCGGGAGAAACATGAGGCTTTCTGCTCCCATAGAGATGTACAGCCTCGGGAACCCTGTACAGGGTCGCTATCAGTCTATGAGTCGGAACTGACTCCACGACACAAAACCACCACCATAATCAATGAAACAATCGGCTGGCTCTTGAATAAATCACATCAACCTTACATGCACAGCCTGCTACAGAAGCAAGCAGTCAATAAGTCATGCGAACCAGTCTAAATAGCCAGTCTCTGAGAAGTCCTTTAGATAGCCATCTCTTTAGATGTCCTTCCACTGAAAACAGATTGTCCCAAACTCCACTAGATTTCAATCACAAAGTAAAAATATGGAAATCTGATCTTTAAATCAGATCTGAATTTAAATCATGGCTCCTCTATTTACTGGGGAAAGGGGAAAAAAACCATCAACACTGCATGCCTTAGGAGCCATGGTGGCACAATGGTTTGTATCGACCAGTCACTCTGCAAGGAGAAGATGCGGCAGTTGGCTACTGTCAAGATTTACAGTCGTGGAAACCGTGTGGAACAGTTCTCCAGTTTGTCCTAGAGGGCTGTTATGAGTCAGAATTGACCCAATGGCAATGGATTTGTTTTTTGGTTTGTAGAGTCTTTTTTCTCCACTACCTCATCAAATCTTTAGTACTAACAAGAGGTAAGTCTCATTTCACCTTTATTAGCAACAAGAGGTAAGTCTCATCTTCATTTTACAGAAAAAAGAATAAGTAATTACCCCCAGTTCAATCAACTAGTTAAGGACAACAGTGAGATTTGATTATACTACTGATCGTGTAAGGAGTTCTGGTGGCGCTGTAGGATAAGCGCTGTATTGCTAACTGCAAGGCCAGCAGTTCAAAGCTTCCAGCTGCTTCTCAGGAGGAAGATGAAGTTTTCTGCTCCCATAAAGATTTACAGCCTCAGAAAGCCTATACAGGGTTGCCGTGAGTTGGAATCAAACTCAATGGCAGTAGGTTTGGTATCAACTGATACTTAGTAAGTGTTCACTGATCTGTGTGACTATGAGGTAAATTACTGAATGTATTTACTTATTTTATTACCTTCAAAAAAGGGATATAACAATAGGTTGTTATGCAGATTATCTGGCATGGAAATTCCTAGCTCCATGCTCAGTTCATATTTGTTGCTGTTAAGTGCCATTGAGTCTGTTCTGACTCATAGCGACCCTGACACTGTTGTATCTGATAAGCACCGATGCCAACCATGAGGCTGTCAGTTCAAATCCACTAGCTTGCTCCTTGGATCTATATAGGTTTGCCATGAGTTGGAACTGACTCAACAGCACTAAACAACAATATCTAAATATTGGCAATTAAAGTCAGTCTTGTACAAAATGGTGAGGCAGATGAAGCATGGCTTCTTTGCTACCACAGCTCTCCTTCTCTGTTTTGTTGGTTACCTGTAGGGTTTGTACTAGCTGATTTTTCAGAAGTAGATCTGCCAGATCTTTCTTCCTAGTTCATCTTAGTCTGGAAGCAACTCTGGAACCAATTCAGCATTACTGGAACACACAAGCCTGCATTGATAGATGAGTGGTGGCTTTGTTGAGGTGTACTGAACAGGAATTCTAAAATTACCTAGATAGTGACTTTCTGTGTTCTTTATACTACCAAAATGTTCTCTCGAAAGGACAAGTGCTATGGTATATAGAATCCTTGACCTGTTTTCAAACCCAGGTGGTGGTGGTGATAGTGGCTGTGTACCATGGAGTAGGTTCCGACTCATAGCAATTCTATATAAGGTTTCTGAGGCTATAAAACTTGACTGAAGTAGAAAACCTCATCTTTCTCCCATGGAGCATTTGGTAGATTTCATTTGCTACCTTGTGGTTAGCAGCCCAACTCATAACATACTACCCACCAGGGCTCTGTGGGGTGCATGAATTTTGTGAAGGGCAAAGTGATTTGGTGGCAGTGAGTCGGAACTGACTGGATGGCACTTAATAACAACAACAAACGTGTTTTAACCTGTACTGACATAATTTCTGGTTTAGGAGAAGTGGTGGATTAATATTTTGGGTGATTTGGTACCTTTAACATGACTAACAAGAAGCTCTGGTAGTGTCGTGGTTACGAGTCAGGCTACTAACCTCAAGGTGTTGTTGTTGTTGTTATGTGCCATGAAGTCGGTTCTGACTCATAGCGACCCTGTACAGAGTTTCCAAGGCTGAAAATCTTTACCGGAGCAGAAAGCCTCATCTTTCTCTCGCGGAACAGCTGGTAGTTTCGAACTGCTGACCTTGCAGCCCGATTCGTAACTACTATGCTACCAGAGCTCCTTAACCTCAAGGTAAGCAGTTCGAAACTACCAGCAGTTCTGCTTTCTGTTCCCGTAAAGATTTACAGCCTCGGAAACTTCATACAGGGTCGCTATGAATCGGAACCAACTCCACGAAACTTCACCACCACCCCGACTATTACTAACAGTAATATACTATTTTTTAAATTAAGCGCTGTCCAGTCGGTTCCGAATCACAGCGACCCTGTGTATAGGGTTTCTCAGGCTTTAAATCTTGGCGGGAGCAGAAGCCTCATCTTTATCCCGCGGAGCAGCTGATGAGCTAGAACCGCTTAGCTTGAGGTTCAGAGTCTGATGCTTATCGTACGGAGCACCTGTGTAACTATTGTTGTTGTTGTTGTTAAGTGCCTTCGAGTCGGAGTCGACCCAGAGCGACCCTGTACAGGGTTTCCGAGGGTGTAAATCCTTACAGGAGTAGAAAGCCTCATCTTTCTCCCGCGGAGCGGCTGGTAGTTTCGAACCACTGACCTTAAGGTTCGCAGCCCGATTTGTAACCACTACGCTATTACACATCTCTAAAAGATATAGCTATTTTAGAGTCTCCCCTATTCCAGTATAACTCAACCGCTGATCACACAGATTTCATGGTAGTGTGCGACATGTAGGTAATATAGATGTTAAGAAGGGTCAGCCTAAATCACGACTTGTTCTTAACCACATCCAGTTCCTGGAGGCAAACTGGTTAATGAGACGAAAGGGGGACGCGAGGCAGCACCCAACGCAGGGGCTTAGGCTCTTACTTGCGGGAATGAAGGCAAACCAAAATCTAAGACATATTCCTTCTCCTCCCTTCTCATGTACGCTTGAAAGCTCTCCACTCCCTTCACCTCCCACTCCCCCTGGGCCTCCTCTTAAATTCCCTCCACCCCTTCCCACTCCGGCATTTCGCCAGGGACCTCCTCACTCCTTAGTCCAGGGCTTCGCCGCCAGGATTTCCTGCTGCTGTTTCTTGTCGTATTTGTAGATTTCATCGATACTCTGAGCTTCTTGCATGTTGTTGGTTAATTCCCAGGTTTTCTGAGCCATCCCGCTACCGGACGCCGTCATTGCGGATGAGTCAGAGACGTTGTCGCCTACACAATCAATACGCAACTTCACCCTTCTAGGTTTTGGGGTGAGGGCTTCCAACACGCCCCCACACCCGTGCACAATTTTAGAAGACTCTCGAGGCACCCATGACACTTAGAACCGGAGGCGACGGTGGTACAGACCATTTGAGAATACCAGGAGACTTTCAGGAAAGCAGCAATATAAAAAGCAGTTGCAATAATAGTTAGGGAAAGAGAAATGTTTTAGTGGATGAAATGAAAGTATCTCTTCAGAAAACTATACGTGTAAGTTAAAACTAAAATAATAACCGAGTATGGGAATGGTACAGCCCTGCGCACCGGAATTAAATCCTGTAAACGTTATGCCAGCAACTGGAAGTTGCCTTCTTTGTTCGTACTGCGCAGGCCCAGCTCTCGCCATGTTAAAAATGGTACTTAAAATAGTGTTGGGGGGGTGGGGTGTAGTTGTTGGGTTGTAGGTACTTTAAATGAGATGGATTTGTTAAATGACTGAAAAATAAAGGATATTTGTCGGGGAATTGAGATATTGCTCAGATCTGGATTCTAATTGAAAGGAAGATGAAAGTACTAAATGCAGAGGATTCGCGACGGTTTGGTGCATTGCTTTCAGAAGCGCGTCCTCTAGTGTTCAGAAAATGTCTAACAGATGCAGTTATAGCTTCAATAGCACTCTGAAACCACTTCTGATCTAGTTCAAGTTAATTTCGGCAACCTATTTTCTCCAACAGTTTTATTAGTTTATTTTTTACATTTATTTCATTTATTAATTTACTTATTTTAGATCCTGCTCCCCCATTCTAGGAGTCCTGGTGTGGCGCTGTGGGTTAATGCGTTGGACTGCAAAGTCAGTTTGAACTGCAAGGTCGGTTGTTGAAGCTCACTAGCCGCTTCTCAGAAAGCGGATCTGTTAGAACCGACTCGACAGCACTTAACAACAACAACTCCCGAAAGAGAAAGAATGTTAAAAATTTTATCATCTGGACCCTATGCTCCTCTCTAGCTTCATCTTTCATTAGTCTGTCTCCTCCTGAAACTTTTTCAGTTCCTAAGGAGCTCTGGTAGCGTAGTGGTTACGAATCGGTCTGCGAACCGTAAGGTCAGCAGTTCAAAACTACCAGCGGTTCTGCGGGAGAAAGATGAGGCGTTCTGCTCCCGTAAAGATTAACAGCCTCGGAAACCCTGTGCAGGGTCGCTATGAGTCGGAACCGACTCCACGGCACACAACAACAACAGTACCAATGCATTTACTTTGGCTTAGCGCATGCGGTAAACTGTCTGGAATTCTCTTCTGTGACTTTTCTAGCTGGAAACTCATGTGAATCTAAAAATCACAGGCCAGATATCTCCACCATGAAACCTGTCTTAACTTCTTGGTCTCTTCAATGTATTTTGCTGATTTTGTACAGAGTGTATTTATTTACTTGGAAGTTTTCTCTTTTACTGTGAGATTCAGAGAGGAGGACATTGTTCTGCATGGAGTGGAGACTCGTAGTATTTGTTGTGAAGTACCATGGCATCGATTGTGAGTCGTAGCTACCCTGACTAGGGTTTCCAAGGAGTTGCTGGTGGATTTGAGTGTTTGAACCCCCGAGCTTTCAGTTAGCAGCTCCCACCAGACTCCCCATTCCTAGTATTGTTAAGTGCTGTCAAATCAGTTCTTATTTATAGCAATCCTGTATAGGGTTTCTGAGGAGTGGCTGGTGGGTTTGAACCGTCGACCTTATGGTTACCAGTCCAATGCTTACCCTGAAGTGCCACACCAGGACTCCATTCCTAGAATAGTGCTTGGCATATGGTTAAAACGAAATCGTAATTATTAAATCCACACCCTGGCTTACAGATTTGACATTTTCAGCTGAAGAAAATTTGCCTTTAAAGGTCTTCTTACAAAGTAAATTAGGGTAAAAGAATCCTTAGTTCTATTCTCCTGGTAAGCTGCTAAGACTACTGCTGCTGTGAGGTGTTGTCGGCCGGTTTGCACTCATAATGACCCTCGTGTAACAGAACCAAACCCTGCCATGTCCTGCACCATTCTCACAGTAGTTGCTATGTTTGAGTCATTGCTGTAGCCACTGTTAATCTATCTCATTGAGCGTCTTTCTCATTTCCCTGATCCTCTACTTTACTAAGTTCTTTTCTTGTGGTAGCATTTGGCCACTCAATAACTCAATATTGGGATGAAGTGAATACCATTGAGAATAGTAATGAAAGCCCATTGCCTAGACTTTGGGTGGAGTAATTCCCTGGAAAGGTATGCCAACAGTTTTCTTCTCTCTTCCTTTTTCCCAGGCTCTAGTGGGCTAATGCGTCAGGTTGTAAAGTCATTTGAACTGCAACGTCAGTGGTTCAAGCTCACCAGCTGCTCCTTAGAAACCCTATACAGGGTCACTATGGGTCGGAATTGACTCGATGGCACTCAACAACAACAACAACAACAACAGCAGATCCATCAGGCTGCAGAAATTATTGAACAATATTGTTAATATCACATGCAAGTAAAATTATGCTGAAGATAAAGTTACACCTCACAGGTATTGTGGGTTCAGTTCCAGACCATCACAATAAAGCAAGTCACAAGAATTTTTTGGTTTCCCAGTGCATATAAAAAGAATGTTTACACTATGCTGTAGTTTATTAAGTGTGCAAAAACAGTATGAAAACGTTTGAAATTTTGTGAGAATTACCAAAATGTGACACAGCGGCACAAAGTGAGCAAATGCTGTTGGAAAAATGGCACTGATAGACCAGCTAAATGTAGGGTTGCCACACTTTCAATTTGTGAATGCGTTATGCCTCTAATTAAAAAGTGGTTGCAATAGTGCATCGACAGGGAGCTGTCAGAATTTCAAGCAGGATTCAGAAAAGGATGTGGAATGTGGGATATGGTTGCTGATGTCAGATCTTGGCTGAAAGTAGAGAATACCAAAATGATGTTTACCTGTGTGTTCTATTGACTACGCAAAGGCATTTGGCTATATGGATAGTAACATATTATAATGTTTTGAAGAATGGGAATTCCAGAGCACTGAATTATGCTCATGAGAAACTTGTATATGGACCAAGAGGCAGTCATTTGAACAGAACTAGGGGATACTGCCTGTTTAAAATCAGGGAAGATGTGCATAAGGGTTGTATCCTTTCACTAAAAGGGTTCAAAAGCAAATATGTCACTTTGAGATTCTGCACCTGACACAAGTCATGATATTTTCAGCCATCTCATTTGCTTGCAAATGCTGGTCAATGAATACAGCAAGTCAACGTAGAATTGATGCATCTGAATTATGGTATTGGTGAAGAATGTTAAAGAATACCATGGACTGCCAGGAGACTGAGCAAATCTATCTTGAAAGAAATATAGTCAGAATGTTTCTTAGAAGGGAGGATGGTGAGACTAGTACTTTGGCACGTTATCAGGAAGGACTATTCCCTAGAGAAGGACATCATGCTTGGTAGAGGGGCAGGAAAAACAGGAAGACCTCAATGAAATGGACTGACAGTGCCTGCAACAATGGCCTCAAACATAGCAACCTTAGTGAGGATGTGCAGGACAGGGTTGTGTTTGGTCCTCTTGTACAGAGGGTCGCTCTGAATAGGAAACTGCGTGATGGCACCTAACAACAGCCCTGTATGCACTTCTTGCCTAGGGGCAGGAAGAGCACTGGAATTGATTTAACTTGGAAAATGGCTTCCAGGGCTCAACAGTTTCAGGGTAGCCAGGAGGAACAAGGTGGCCGAGTCCTCCTCGGAGGCAGAGGGCGCGCCAGGCCGCGAGTGTTCCCTTCTGGGCGGCAATGGGGGCGGGGCCGCGCCTGGCCGTTGGCTAAGGGCGAGCAGAGGGGCTTGGCTTGAGAGGCGGAGCCTGGGCCGGGCGGCTTGTCGCACTGTTCCCGCGCGGGGCGACCGCTGCCACTTTTCTGGACAGCGAAGGTGCTTCGTAGGAGCGCTCAGCGGCTGCCCGGACGCAAATCAGCCCCCCCCCCCCACTTCCCCGAGTAAGAGTTCGCCGGGTGGGGATGGAGAGCCAATCCGGCGGGGGTGGCCGGGTAGGAAGGGACCCTGCGCAGGGTTCGCGGCCCCGGGGGGGAGCGGTGGTTCACTGCACCCTGCTGGACAGGGATCTCGCGGCTGCTCGGCCAGGGCCAGTCAGTGCCCACCTTGTGGGGGTTAATATTCTCTGTAGGCCAGAGTTTAGTGGCTCCGGATCGGCGTGGGCAGTGGCCTGGTAACCCGGGCCGAGACAGCCGAGTGTCCAGGACTCGCGTCTGCATGTCTGAGCTGGGGCTCCGGGGAGCGGGTGTGTGGGGGCGGTACCCGGGTTGCTGGGGTGCGGGCGGAGGTCTCGCGGTGGCGCGGGGAGCAAAACGATTACTCAGTCCTGAGCCGGGGGTTGCAACCCTGTCTGTTGTGAACCGGTTGCCTGACAACGCGTTGACGCTTCCTAAAGAGGCAGCCACCCTCAGCAGCTGGATACTAGCCTTGCTTTCCCTGTAGCGCCCTTTACCTACGCGTTCGCACGGCCTCCGCAACTCAGCGGAGCCCCCTGGAGCGCCTCGGGGCTGGTTAATGCTTAACATTTGTCCAGAGCTTGTGCACCTGGTGCTGTTTCTAGACCTTTGCTTTGCAAGTAATTGATTTAATCTTCACTAGAGCCTTATGCCCTGTGAGGTAGGTGCTATTATTATCCTGTTTTATCCCTGTGATTGTTTGGCGTCGTGAGCTTGCATCTTTTCTAACTAAATGTTTTAATTTTAGTATCATCTCTGACTTGAATCCTGTTTTCGTAAATGTTGCATTAGGACACATCGTTAGAGAGAGGTTGGCTTTCAAGTTTATAGAACTGAGAATTTGAATTTGGATGTTTATAAAGACCACCTAGTTTCCGAATACTTGGAAAATTCAAAGACCCAGTAACATCCAATAAGAGTTTGTAAAGAGCCAATTATCCTCAGAGATTCTATTTTATATAAAAGAATGGCTTGC